ATGCTCCAATACATCTGTTAGTCTTAAAGGTGCCACAGAATTCTCTGTTGCTTTTTACAGATCCAGACTAACATGCCTACCCCTCTGATAATTAACTTCACTGGCATTCTCCTAGCTGAGGATCTGTCCCAAAGATAATTTTTTTTTAAAATCACAGATTAAACACTTCTCAGATAGCTTGAACTTTTTATGGATACTTGTTACTCAGAAATGCCTAATATTTACTTTAATGGAAAATGGAGGTTTATACTACATGTTCATGCAGGGGGTGTAAAGTGTGCCGTGTATGGGCTACCTGCATCACAGGTTACAGCATGGGGGAGGGAGAGCAGCCTCTGCAGGACTGTTACATCCTTTTCCTCCCAGATTGCCAGGGAGCAGATGAGCTGAAATGGACATTGCCTTAATTCCAGTGACACGATGTGTCAGCCTGCAAAGGGGAGAAACTAATCTCTGCTGCATAAGGAGCTTGGGGAGATTCCTTCTCCCCGCAGAACAAGGGGTAAACCAGGCATTGACCGGCAACTTGGAACAATTGGTAGTCTCTGCCCAGGAGAGTCCCAGGATAAGCAGGGCAGAAGTGTTCCTGCAGGCCAGGAAAGAGGCATATTGACTGGGCTGGTTAAGCACAGTTAGCAGCATCCAACCTTTATACAGATGAAAGGGCGTGACTAAAGAGCATATTGCTTTTTGGTAGACCCTGATGACATCTGTGTTGCTGTCACAGTGTTAGTGCAAAGCCAGAAAAGTACATAAATGCCAGAAAACTTTTGCCAAAGAAAGAGAGGCAAATAGGTTGGACTTAATTCCCCCCCAGTATTTTTAAAGACCAGTCTTTGCCCAAACAAAACCCCTTTTAGTAGTGGGTCTCTGTGTACAGATGGATTATAGGATTGGGGCCTTTAGAGTAATGTACGCAGTTTTTAAATGTAAATGTGATATTTTTCAGTTAATCCTTATTTTTGGTTAAAAAAATCGCCAGTTATAAATACGTCATAGCAGTTTTTGGTTAGCTAGGTTTCCATAGTTTCTTTCATGATCACTGTCTGTTTTTTCCTCTGGTGGTATTTTCTGTGATTAGTTTCTAGCATAATTTTAGCTTTCTCTCTTTTTCTTGGTGTGATGCTTGTGGGGCTTCTGTACTTCTTTTGCTGTAAATTCCTATAATAGTAATTTTTTTCCACTTTCAGCTCTCGTCCAAGGGAAAAACCACTACAGTGGAGAGGAAATCTCCTTCTCCTATACCTGGAAACATGAATAGGAAAATCAGTAAGTATTATTTCCCAGGTGATTAGAAATTACCCACATAACCATACAGTTGGACAGTGTCTTTGTCTTCTGGATACATTGTAAATCTGCTGTTCCATGTAAAGTTGATGTTAGATAGTAGTTTCTAACAAGTTGTTTCCCTGAATTTGTTCTGGAACCTTCAATGCCAAATAGGAAAATAGAGCAGCAAGCATTATCTTCTATGTTGCGGTGGAATAGAGGAGATGATGTAAAGCAAATTACTGCTCCATCACTTTCTAAGTGAATGTTTAAAATCAAAACGTTTAAAGGATTGACATGTTTACAATAAAAGGTGAAATGTGCAATGAGTGGGAGCAACACAACATAGTACAAGAAGTGTCTGTTCTCTTTTCTTTGTTCTGCTTGAATAAACAATTTAGTGAGGGTTATAGCTTAATATCACGGTGTTTTAAAAAAAATTTGTTTTTAACCAGTGCTCATTAGTAGTATAAAGAACACTCCACCTACAAATTCTAAAAGCTGAGAAGTAAACTTCTCACAGCTAAATGCCTTTTCCTAATGTCTATGTTCTGGGCAGTTACCAGGCTGTCTGTTACATTCTCTTCCCATTGGCATACCATTTAAATTGCTGAAACATTTGATATGTGTAGGTAAAGGAAGCAGCCAACTTCCCCCCTCCACCCAGCTGTTACTGTTTCTTTTTCCCCAAGTTGTATGGTCACAATACCAATGAAATAACAAATCTGCCTATTTCTAAATATACACGTTTGTTGGATAATTTAATACATTAGCTTTAAAGCTCAGGTGAGCAGTTGTTTGTAATAACATTTAAATGTATTCTATTTAGTTGGCTAAATTCTCATAGAAAACACAAATACTTGATAGGGTATTAAAAAGACAATGTTATCACAGGGTTCAGGTGATATTGTTGTAATAATCATGACATAAATGTACATCATGATGTTTTATAGAATCATAGAAATTAGGGATAAATAATATCTGTTGACTCTGTTTTCTACCATCTTTATTCCGGCCCCACCTCTTCCCCTGAGCCCCCCCCCCCACACTTTTGCTCCTCTTCCGTCCCCCACCACCCACGGGTTGGGAGGGACTCACCTGCGGAACCGGGGCTGGGAGCTGCAGCCACCCAACACAGGTGGGAGGTGACCCCAGCTGAGTAGGGGCTGGCGCAGATGATGACCTGGCACCTCCCCGCCTCCCCCGCCCTCAGTAACTGGACTTTAGTTGTCCAGTCAGTAGTACTGGCTGGACACTGTCAGGTCCCCTTTGGTCGAAAACCAGGCACCCTATTAAAGAATCTATCACTAGTCAGAGGGGAGGCAGCATAGTGGATAGATCATTGGACCTGAATCCTTGTTCTACCATTAACCTGCTCTGTGACCTTGGGATCTCACTTTACCTGTCTCTGCCTTTGTTCATCTTCCCACCCTGTGTCTACTTGTCTATTTAGGCCTCAATCGTACAAAAGCTTGAAAACTCACAGTGCATAAAATTAAGCAGATGCTTTGTGGAATCAGGGTCTTTGCAGAATTTGGGCCCTGACTGTAAACACTTTGAAGAAGGGACAGATTCTCATTACATGTTTGTGCAGTATATAGTACAAGGGACCCAATCTTGATTGTGGCCTCTAGGTGTTACAATAATACATATAATAAATGGAGAGACTGCTTCCTTCTTGCTGCCTGAGAGCATATGTGCCACACGTGCCAATCAACAGCGTTAGTTTGCTAGTGCACTGGGGTTGTGGGGGGAAGAAGAGGAAGTTCAGAGACAGCAAGTTGCTTCGCATGCAGGGCTGTACCGTACAGGCACGATTAATTTCTGTATCTGGAACCTGAATGTTTCCTCCCCTCCATCACTCCATTCTCTTATGGGCACTAGGGAAGTGTATGCTGCACTAGCAGCTCCACCATCCTTAGAAGGGGTCCAGCCTTCACCTTTGATGGGTTAGTAATGCTAGCCAGGAGGTTGGAGCCATGGCTATATCCCCCACCCAGATTGTGGCTGGCTCATGTGCATAGGTGCAAGTTCCTTGAGCTGTCTCCCTATATCCTTGCACATCATGAAGAGCCAGACATTATCTGACAGCAGAAAATATATTAACTTGAGTGGCTTTGAATCTTTATTCACAGGAATTTAAGAGGTACATTCCATGAGAACTGTTGATTTTACAATAGGGCAGCATATCACTAAATTTCCTCTAGAGCATCAGATTAGGTGGCTTTTTTCTGTCAGATCATTTCAATCTGCATATCAAGTGGTTGCTTGTTAGCCATTCTGAGAAGTGCTTTCTGTGCATCTCTGTGCCTTTGGGAACCTCTCTGCACTTCTTTTGTTATGCCTGGAGAAGTGAAAGCGAATGTTTCCAATAATTCTATGGAGACTGAACTTTCATCTGCTCTTGTTAGATCCCTCAGAACCAGTTTTGTCTTAATACTGTGTTTGCTGAGACAACCAGTCTGTAATACTACTAGAGGAATACGTTTTCAGAGCTGCTAGTGATTGTGTTTGTTTTTCAGCTGACTATGAGCTCACGCAACTACAAGAAAAGCTGAGAGAGACTGAGGAGGCTATGGAAAAATTAATCAATAGAGTAGGACCTAATTGTGACAGGTATGTTTTATATTACAGGAATTTAAAGAAGAACTCCTTTCGGTATAGGGTAGATAAATTAAACTTTCTCTTGGAAGAAAATCTTCTTTTTATCAAAATGTAAATCTCTTGTATATGTTAAAATAGTAATTATGTTTCTACTTCATAATGTTGACAATATTTTGCTCTATTTTTTTCACATTTTTCTTTTCACATTCTATATTCAATTATTTTTTGCAATGTCAGTTTCCTTAAGGGGAACACCCGGGCCCCATTGTACTATGTAATTTGGAAGATAAAGACAGATACGTCTAAACTGAACATGAAAATGTCTTAGGCCCAAAAGCAAAGCAAAGCAAAAAAAGCCAGTGAGTTTGCCCAAGACGACTACTTCATTTTCTGTTAGCTTCTAGTGTTCTGGATCTTTTTGTAAAACAGTAATATGGTTATCCTTTACATAGATGCCTTTTTGAATCTCTGTAAAATGTTTCCTTAGAGGCAAGGCTGCATATTAATCTGCTCCAGTAAACAATTTCCACCAGTTTAACTTGCAAACCCTCTTGGTTAGTAAATATGAAAAAAGAAAATTTGCTAAATTTGTATTTTTAAATTTGTTTTTTCTTTGATAATTTGCTCACTAATATTTGGTGTAAAACTTATTAGCATATACACTGTTTAAAATTATTTTGAAATAATGATTGCATATTCTTCCATAAAAAGCTGAATTATTAAAAAATACTCCAAGAAATATGCTTTGTATTTGGCTGTAATATGAAAGTTGAATACAGCGAGATTTTGTTACACATTTTACAAAATTACAAAATAAATGGTATGGGCCATTTTTAATCTGCTCCCATTTCCTTTTGATTTTAAATGTATACTCTTTACATCCAGAATGAAAAACCTTAGCCCTGCTCTAATTTTGTTTTTAATTGTTTATATGTTATTTTTAAGGGCTTGATCCAATGCCCAGTGAATTCAATTGGGGACCAGATTGAGATTTTGAAAACCACCTAAACTGGGGTTTGAAACTGGAATTTTTGTTTGGGCCTTTGTAAAAATAGGGTTGATTTGTAAAATTTGTTTCTGGATTCCAATTTTGATGTCCCCTAGGTCCCATCTGCACAAATCTCTGGGTTGATCAGTAAAGTGCAATACTTCTTGCAGGTCTGGCTTGATGTGAGTAATTAAACATGGGAGAGGCCTGATTTTTTGGAAGACAGGATTCGGGAGGTAACTAGGTCAGCAGGCTGAAAGTGGAAGGTTTGTGCTAAGATAAGTGAATGGGTCAGTAAACTAGAAGACAGAATGTTTGAGCTAGCTAAGAGAAGAGGGGAGGAGAGGATTTTTTTTATAAGTATTAACGGAGAGGGAGGTAAAGAAAGATCTGGGATGGAAGAGGCACAAGTACAGGGCAATATAACAATGTCTAAACCAAGAAACAGATGACATTAGTTACATACTATAGACTTCTCGATAGACACATCTGATTAAGGGCATCGTGAATCATAAAGCTTTGAAACAATCTCAAAATTCTCAGTCTTCTCTTTTGAACAAATGTAATCCTTTCCCAGTTTGTGAATTTAGTCATGCTGTTATTATTTATTATAGCATCCAGTTAGGATCGGGGTTTTCTTAACTTTTAGTTTATTTGCTGGTTTCCATTTCTTAGCATAGACCTCCTGGCCACTGCAAAATCTCCCTGCAGGAACTACTCATCTAGATTGCTCAGACCTTTGCTGAGATTCTGATGACGGAAAACAAAGATTTCTGGGTGTGTAGGGCTATTATCTCTGTTGTTCTTCCAGGCTCTTACTAGAATGTTTTAATATGGGGACATGGCTGCAATATATGCAAATCTTTCCATACACATTCCCACAAATATCTAAACCATATGCCATATTCCTGTTTTCATCATTCTGTTCAATGTACAGTATATCTTGAAATATTTTTTTGCTAAATTTCTATTCAAGAGATGTTTTATTCATAAAGTTTCTATTCAAGAGATGTTATTTGATATCTAAATGACCAGCACATGTTAATCCACAAAAATACTACACAAGTGTCCTTGAATCTATCTTCAATTCTCAGAAAGGACAGTTTAAAACACTCATTAACTCACCCTGTTGTGCCTTACCAAGAGGTTTAGCAGCACATGCAGTATATTGCACAAGAACTTAAAGTGCAGTTTAACTCTGAAAAGTGATTTTCAGGTCAAATTTGCTCAGGTTACAATTAAAAAAGGTTTTTCTAAGTGCTCATCCCACAAACTCAGCCTGGGATCTGAATGTCAAGCTAGGGTCTTTCAGGCTACCGCATCATAACCAGCAGGAAAGGTTCTATAGGTCAAATGCTGCCCCCAGTCACACCTGTGCAACCCCAGTGGCCTCATGTTATATCCCCCAAACCTATTGGTTTCAGTGGGATTGTACAAGTGTAACTGGGGAAAATTTGCATACATTGAACTGGTGGCCCTACAATTGGAACTAAGGCCTGGTCTACACTACGGGTTTAGGTCGACTTTAGCAGCGTTAAATCGAATTAAGCCTGGACACGTCCACACGACGAAGCCCTTTCTTTCGACTTAAAGGGTCCTTTAAACCGGTTTCTTTACACCACCTCCGACGGGATTAGCGATAAAACCGGCCTTTGCGGGTCGGAATTGGGGTAGTGTGGATGGAATTCGACGTTATTGGCCTCCGGGAGCTATCCCACAGTGCTTCATTGTGACCGCTCTGGACAGCACTCTCAACTCAGATGCACTGACCAGGTAGACAGGAAAAGCCCCGCAAAGGTTTGAATTTCATTTCCTGTTTGCTCAGCGTGGAGAGCACAGGTACACGCACTGTTCCGTCATGCACACTTTCCCCTGTTGGCGTCCCAGCAACCC